TGGTAAATACCGTGGAGTGGTTCCAACCCATAGTGACCCTGCACAGGGTTTCCAAGGCTGTAAATCTTTACGGGAGCAGAAAGCCTCATCTTTCTCCTGTGGAACAGCTGGTATTTTGAACTGCCGACTTTGAGGTTAGCAGCCCAATTCACAAAGATTTAGGGCCTCAGAAACCCTATACAGGGTGACTATGAGTCTGGACTGACTCTACACCACTGAACAGCAACAACAAAGGCTATGTAAGTTGAACTTTGTTCCTTAAACTTCAGCATTAAAAACAACTGAAAAAAAAAGACAAAAGCAAAGATACAACTATAAAACTGTAGCATTTTGTTACTGCGTCTATGGATTGAATTTGGGACCCCCAAGCAAACTTGAGCACTTAAAAACACAAGTGCAATATTAATGTTATCTAAAACAGGGTAGCTTTAAGCATCACTCAGTTAGTAATCATTGTTATCCTGATCATTTACAAAGGATTTCTAGAACCACTTCAATGAACTAGACATCTGATTAAAAAATAATAATAATAAATTCAAGAGCTCTTTATCAAATGACTTTTTATTCCCAGTAAAGTTGTGAGGTAGAGGTAGAAACACTGTCCACTTGAGAGAACTACCTCGGAAAGGTGCAGCAGGTGCTTATAAATGGCTGTTGAGCACGTCTGTCCACCCAACATGCAATGGGCTTGCCAAATCCCAAACTACATGTTGGAAAACTTGTAGTTCTGGGCTTGTGATCAACCAGTCCATGACAATAGTGACAGGTCTCCTGGTCACCTGCCCCTGGACCTAGCTTTCTCAACACAATTAAATAATCAACATAAGATGCTCCCACCTGTTTTCATTAGTCCACACTATTAGTTTTCTCTGCGTATGAAGGGGCTTCAAAAGGTTTGTGGAAACATTTTATTATCCATTAATCTCATGTTCCCACATACTTTTTGAAGCCCCCTCGTACTTCTCACAATCCCCCAGCTAAGATCCTTGGTCTACTGTTAGCTACTAAGGGCTGTCAGTAAACCAGATACCAAAGGTTATCCT